TAGTAGTTCGCGGCGACTTGTCTAAATTGCTATTTGATCCAGTGTTGTTAGTCAAATCAAATGATCTATTAAGTGAAGTTAAGGAAAGAGAGAAAGTGACTTGTCTAAATTGCTGATTGATCCAGTGTTATTAGTCAAATGATCTATTAAGTGAAGTTAAGGAAAGGAAAGAGAGAAATTTGAATCATCAATAAACAAAAGCCTACATAATAGTTCGCGTTTACTTGTCTATATTGTTGTTTGATCCAATGTTGTCAGTCGAATGATCTATTAAGTGAAGGTAAAGACAGAGAGAAATTTGAATCGTCGATAAAAAAAATCCTATATAGTAGTTCGCGGTAACTTGTCTAAATTGCTATTTGATTCAGCGTTGTTAGTCAAATGACCTATTAAGTGAAGGTAAAGAAAGAGAGAAATTTGAATCCACCATAAACAAAAGCCTACATAGTAAGTAGTTCGCGGTGACTTGAATTAATGCAATATTGAGTCCTCAAAAAGAAAAGAAATATATTAAAAATCTTGCTCGAATGATAAATTTTTTCGGTCTCGACTTAATTACTAAAATAATAATCTTGTTAAATCCATAAGATAATAATTTTATATAAAATTCTCTAAGAGCAATGCAAATATAACCAAGTAAATTTTATAATACATATTAAGGATATTTTTACTTGGTAGCTTTTATCCTTTTCAATTCAGATTTATTTGTTAACATACATCTAAAGTTGTTTGCTTTTTCTTTGTACTCAAAATGAACTCTAACACATCCTTAATTATTTGAAATGTATTTATGCAGCATATGCTATATTTTCTTCATTTGTAGAAAGTAATTATTTAAGTATTCAATACTTTAAATGCTTCCTCTTGAGAAACAATTGATAAAAATACANTAGTAGTTCGCGGCGACTTGTCTAAATTGCTATTTGATCCAGTGTTGTTAGTCAAATCAAATGATCTATTAAGTGAAGTTAAGGAAAGAGAGAAAGTGACTTGTCTAAATTGCTGATTGATCCAGTGTTATTTGTCAAATGATCTATTAAGTGAAGTTAAGGAAAGGAAAGAGAGAAATTTGAATCCTCGATAAACAAAAGCCTACATAATAGTTTGCATTGACTTGTCTATATTGTTGTTTGATCCAATGCTGTCAGTCAAATGATCTATTAAGTGAAGGTAAGGACAGAGAGAAATTTGAATCGTCGATAAAAAAAAAAGCCTATATAGTAGTTCGCGGTAACTTGTCTAAATTGCTATTTGATTCAGTGTTGTTAGTCAAATGACCTATTAAGTGAAGGTAAGGAAAGAGAGAAACTTGAATCCACCATAAACAAAAGCCTACATAGTAAGTAGTTCGCGGTGACTTAATTAATGCAATATTGAGGCCTCAAAAAGAAAAGAAATAGATTAAAAATCTTGCTCAAATAATAAATTTTTTCGGTCTCAACTTAATTACTAAAATAATAATCTTGTTAAATCCATAAGACAATAATTTTATATAAAATTCTCTAAAAGCAATGCAAATATAACTAAGTAAATTTTATAATACATATTAAGGATATTTTTACTTGATAACTTTTATCCTTTTCAGTTCAGATTTATTTTTTAATATACATCTAAAGTTGTTTGCTTTTTCTTTGTACTCAAAATGAACTCAACACATCTTTAATTATTTGAAATGTATTTATGCAGCATATGCTATATTTTCTTCATTTGTAGAAAGTAATTATTTAAGTATTCAATACTTTAAATGCTTCCTCTTGAGAAACAATTGATAAAAATACATGTATAATCTAAATCATGATCATTATCTTTAGGCATATTCAGCGGCCCTCGAATAATCTCCTCTTCAGTCGTTAACTCATCAACGTATCAATTTCACTAGAATAATTTAAGAGGTGTTCGGCATCTATTATATTTTTGTAATTGATAGAAACGGATCCGCGTAATCAATAATGAATGTATAAATTATTTATTTATAGATAAATTAATACCCCCTCTAAAGTTATATTTTTTTTCTTAGTCCCAAAGTTATTATTTTATAGATTTATTGTATGTGTTTATTTTCCTTAAAATGAAAATAAACTACGTCTAAATCTAGATAAAAAATATAAATTTGGAAAGAAAATACTAATTTTGCTAAGTCATTCGGTCTGACCAAGCTTTTGAATTTAGAAGGCGCTTTAGACATTATTTTTTCTCTACCACATCAATTTTTAAAGGAATTCCGATTAACTTGCTAGGGCTAAGCATCGGGTGGTTGGTCCAGGTATTTCAATATTCGGAACCATTCTTTCTACCCATGATTTTTTTTTTAAAAATTATGAGCTGACAATATAAATTATTTTTTAAATATCGAGAAGAAATAGAAAATAAAATATATCACTAAATACATATTTCAACACTTTATTAATCCGGTGCAAATATATCACCAAATAGCATTCAATATCACATTATAACATCTAATTCTGGCCGTGACTCAACATGCGACGCTCAAGAAAGGTTTGTGGTTAAGAGTTACGGTAAACGAAAGTGATATGATTCAATTATCCAAATGAATGGATTTGATAGAATATAGTACTTACTACTTGGGCCTAGCACTAGATGGATCTTGCAAACTTCTACTTGTTGGGTCGGGAGTCATTGGGTTAGGATGAATAAATTTAAAAAAATAAAAACTTATAAAAAAGACAAATTCAATTTTTTGTCGGGTACCCACAATTCCAATTCAAGAACTAAGAATCGACTCGGCCTCGATTGATTTTCAGTTCCTAATTTATTTTTTTTAGAATCAGGCCAAAATTTCCAGTTTCAATTCGAGAGGTTCAATTTCGGTTAAAATGTCCACTCCTACAGCTTGCATTGGAGAGAATTTTTTTTTTTTTTTTTACAAATATCATTTATTTTTACCTATATATAGCATAAACAATCAACGATTACATTGAAGATGCTCTAATACTTAACGAATTATTATGCCTCTCATCTGTAATCTTACAAAATATTTAGCCACTCTAGTGTGTTGGACATATTTAGTAAATATAATTAATACATAATGCAAACAATCTACTGTGTGAGGTTTTTAAACATTTTTTTTCTTATTAATGTCCAGAATTATATAGTTAAGCCATAAAAGCCTATGAGGAAAAAGCCTAAAAATGAATAAACTATGTTGGGCTTCAACATGTAATTTTAAGTTGGGCTCATATTGGTTAGCTTAACTAAAGTAAGCCCAATTCATTAAGTTACGATTAATGCTCTCTAGCGGGGAAAATTTTTGGAAGATCCAACTCCGATGTATTATTTCTTCGTTTAATTGAGTGAATCTTTAATCCCTACATTGAATTTGAGTTTGAGAATAGAATATGTCCAAATTCTTATTATAACTAATACTTTTCGAGTCACGAGGACTAAAACTTGGGTAAATTTAACGAAAAGCATAAATTTCATTTAAAAATTCTATAAAAAATATGTCATTTTGTTTAGGGAAAATTATTTCAAATCCTACATTTTAACTTTCAATTTCTTAAAATAAAGTTAACAAAATGATGTTGGTCCACTTTTATCCATTGTAATTAGGGTTGTTAGTAGCTCGTGCTCGCTCTGGGCCAAGAAGAGCGCGAGCCAACTCGTTTAAAAAAACTAACTAGGCTCGTCCCTTCGACTCACCTTTTGGTGGGGGAGCCAAGCTAGTTCACAAGCTACTCTTTGGTTCGTCCAATTTTTTCAAAAATTGAAATGAAAAATTGTTATTGTTATTTTGTAACTTAACGTAATCTAAAAAGATTTAAAATAATCAATTTGCAAAATTTTTTTGGAAATATAATTTTGAATTCATAAAATCCTCCTCCTTCGGGTTTTAGGACTAATAATTTGGCTGAATTAAAATTGTACACGAGTTATTATTTCGTGTACAAATTTATTTACTTTTTTTATTTTACAAAAAATAATGGTAACATAATGTAATTAATTTAAAACTTGCATATTGTATATCAAATAATTCGTCAAGATTGTAATTGTGGGAAATCTTCAACAATTACACTAACATTATCATCTCAAATCCGATAGTCCGCATCTTGTCATTCCTTAAGACACATTAGAGCCTCAAATATATCGCCTTTCAACCTTATTCTTTCGTCCGACAGAACCTTACCTCTACACGGTGGTGATGGTGTCCGCAAGTTTCTAGGCGGTGGTGGGGTTGGTGTGCATAATTGCGTGACGTGATGATGATGGTGACAAAAGGTATGCCGTGACATTTTCACTTGCATATTTTTGGCAATCGACTGTTAAGGTTGTATTGTGGACCATGTGACATTTAAAGCCAATTGGTAAGTTTATCTATTTTTCTGATAATTAATTATTGGTTTGATAAACATCAACAGACAGGGTTCTTAATTTACCTAATGCAGTGCACCAATGATAATGGCTGTAAAAAGTAGTTAGTGGATAAGTGAAAAGTATTTTTATGTCCATTGAAATTGTGATTAAAAATAAAATTTTACAATTAATAAATAATTTAGAAATTTTGCTGAGTTACATAAAGATAAATATGGAGGGAGAGATTGAAAATTTTATTAATGAAGAAAAGAAAATCTTAATTATCATCTACTGAATTGACACTAGCAACAACTACCACATCCTCTTTATTCTGTTTGTAGCTATAACAATTGTCTGCTTCTTCTCGATGTTTTCCATCGGGAAAATTCTTGAAGTACAAGGAAATTCTTCACAGAATTCCTACATGTGCTGCGCTGGCAGCACTTGATTCGCAGGTTTTTTTTTTTTTTGCCAACTGCCAATGAAACTGCAACAAACGTCCCACGTATGAATTCTGTGAAACGTTCCTCGTACGCGTAGCATTATTCTTTTCCATCTATACAAAAGAACAAGGTACAAAACGACTAGCCTTTATTTCTTCTCACCAGTGTATTCACAATTTGATCCACCAAATACTCAAGAAGTATCTCAAGATTTTTCAAGAAAGTTAGAGAGAGAGAGAGAGAGATTATTGAACTTGGAAATCAAGATAAGGTAAAGAGGAAACATTAGCCAACAAACCCTCCCAATCCAATTCTCCAAATTTGAAGTTTTCTCCTTGCCAATCATTTCCAAACCCAACCATATCCTCTAATTTCACGCTTTCAGTATTATTCAAGTTATTATTATTATAAATGACATTTTTCTGGTCAAAGACATAATCACTACTCACGACACCATTATTAACATTGTCAACCCCGAAACCCTCTAATGCAGCAGGAACACACATCACTCCATAATCCCCTAATCCCCCTTGATTTCCTGCTGTATTACCAACTTGTGTCACATATTTCGGAATATTTAATGAACCATTTGTGTCGAAACCGTTGTCGACTGGTGGAAAAGGGTTGAAATGACTACTCGAAGAAGATGAATCCATGCATGTGTTTACAACGTTGTACGAGTACTCGTGCATGGGCATTATCATTCCTCCTGTAACTGCGTCCCATATTGAGACAGTCCTGCATTTGTTTGGAGAGGATGATGTTGAAGTGAAATTCTTATTTTTCAACCTCTTCTTTATGGTAGAATTCCAAAAATTCTTGATTTCGTTGTCTGTTCTCCCCGGAAGACGTGCGGCAATTAGAGACCACCTGATACACATGAATATAGTTGATCTCAAGGTAGTCCGAAACTGAAAACATTAAATCACTTCATCTAAAAGTAACTCTAGACATCGGAAAAATATATTAATAGAAGTTTTATGTCATGTACAATTTCCACATATGGATCTAAGGGCAAGAATTGAACACATGATCGCTTTGCCTACTCCGATGTCATGTTGAACACACGTGAGGAATCGCATTAATTAATTGATAGAATCAAAGCATTGTTGAGCATATACATTCATAATTCTAATTAAGCAGCTGAACCTGATTAGTGTAGCTAATTGAAAACTTCTTGTTAGGAGATTAATATATGCAGTCACCTTGAAAACCTGAACTCTCTCGAAAGTGAAGGATATTACATTATTACTTAAATCTCTGAACTGTTTAATGCTAGCACAGAAGCTAATCTTTACATAATATACCCATCAAAATTAACCCGAAAATAAAAAGTTTCATCCATGAACCCAACAATTTTCCGAGTTAACATCAGTAAGAATGAAATGTAGGAAGCTGTAACTAGTAGTGTTAGCTCCATTGAGCAGTTGAGAGAGAGAGAGAGAGAGAGAGTACCTATTGCCAAGAATGGAATGCAGATGAAGGATTAGCTCTTCTTCTTGTGGGGAAATTGCACCTCGCTTAAGGTCAGGTCTCAAATAATTAATCCAACGAAGACGACAACTTTTACCACATCTCTGCAAGCCTGCATTTCTAGCTATGTCACTCCAACACCCTTGTCCATTTCTTAACATGTAATTCTTCAGCTTGTCATCTTCTTCCGGTGACCATAAACCCTTCCTAACTTTGCCCTTGTTCTTGTAATTCACCATTGAATCTGCTGGCTTCCTCATTTTTTTCTCAGGTTTTGCACAGATTTCTAACGGAGTACTTCAACTTTAATTTCTTGTGTAATCATATATAGATAAACATGATGAGAAAAAGAAAGGGTTAGAGGGATTATGTGAAGTGGAAGCAAAATATTTTCAATTTCTCGTACACATATGATTAGTTTGTGAGTGAAGAAAAGTGAATCAAAAAGGACAAGATAGAGTCAAAGACAAGAAGACCAACTGCCCCTTTCTCCCTCCCACTTGAAGGTCCCTCTCCAATCGGTTTTTCAAAAGGATAATTTATAAAATGAATGAACTGGCAAAGATTAATTAAGGTAAGGTTGGTACAGATAGTTACAACATAGTACGCAGATTCAGAACAACTTTTATTTGTAAGAGTGACGCGATAATGTCAAAAATGGTTAGAAGAAAAATGGGTTGATCAAATCTATCATTGTGACACGATAAAATAACTCATATAATGAATTCTAAATTTTAATAACCTAACCAGCCATTATCACCATTACCAACCCACTAAGCCTTCTCTCTCTCTCTCTCCTCTCTCTCTATCTCTCTCTGTGTCTGTGTGTATATGTATGTATCGTTTACACTTGTCTCCAATAAGATGGGCTACGCGTGGCAAGATACATCACTGTCGATCCAGACATATATTTGCCATGTAAGTGCAAAAATAACATTAATTTTCAAGGATGACTTTAAGTTAACCACATTTTCAAGCAAATTATCTGTCGACAGATATCCATAATCTTTGTGTCTATCTCTTCCAGTGCAATGCGTACGGTGTAAAACACCCCAATAAAACTAGATGAGAGAAATACGAGCATATAACAAATTGAGTCTTTATACAAGTTCAAAAACATTCCAAAATTATTGTTGTACTCATGGCCAAATGTGTACACGTGGCTAAGATGGACCCACTAGTGCTGATGTGTCATCTAGAACTGCCAATTCTTTGCTCTAATCGAATTGTAATTTGAGATGCACTCAAGCTAACAACATCGACCCAAAAAAAACGTCTACTGCGATATTCAAGTGAAAGTATCGACGAAATTATATAGAATCAATCTATAGCAGCTTAGTACATATTTGATTTAAATTATAATCTCAACATAATTTAAAGATCAAAGTTTAAAATTAATTTAACAACACATTACATGAATCCATAACAATTACGATCATTTAAAGTGCTTGTTCCAGAGATAAGACTTCTCTACACTTAGCCCCTATTTAGTTTGAATTAAAATTTCAAGTCAAAGTAACAATTAATTTTAACCACATATTTATCTGGATCCACAATTTTTCAACCGCATATTTCATCAACTTTTATCAAATTTTACTAAAAATCTTATTTTAATCTCTACAAGGGCTGAGTGTTCAATTGTAGAAATTAGCATATTTTCTCATGATTATTCTCTCTCATCTTAAGAAACCATTTGTCTTGTTTCATAAAGTGAACTATACAGCACTAAAGAATATTAGGAAAAACAATTACTTCACATCTTATTTGCTGTATTATTCAGTATTGGGTGCAGTAATAAAGAGAGACTTCGCAAATTCTCCTAAATTAGGGTTAACTATGTCATTGGCCACTGAAGTTTTGAGTGCTTATGCCAATGATTATTGGAAGTCATTTTTTATGGTAATAATCATCCAAGTTTCTAACCATTACAGTTATGATCACTGAGGAAAAAAGAAAAAAAATTAAATTAAATCTTACATAGCACCGCCAAATTGTGTTTTATTACGCCAAGTCAGCGAAATTTAAGAGTTTGGAATTGAGAATTAAACACATTCAGATAAGAAAGAGTAATGAAGTTTTAGAAAATAACCACAAGCTTGAGTTAGAAAATGTAGATAAACAAACAATTTCTTAATACAGAGCGTTGAGAGATGATATCTGATCTCGTCTAGGTTTGAAAACAGTAGCTTTTATTTGAATGCAAGCTGGAAAACATTGTGAAAAGAAACGGAGGCACCCAAGCAACCCTTAGTTACTTATCCAAATTGATCAGAAATAACCAGAAAAGGAGGGGCTACGAGTAACCATTTAGCCATCCAGGTTGACAGGTTCCCGCAGGAATCGCTCCATCTGGCGTGCCCTAGTCCTTATGGACATGTCGAGAACTTTTTGTCCGAATTCCACCACAAGCCCACCAAGAATATTGGGATCAATCTGCATGCACAGAGGAAAATTATGAATATTTCCGTTCGCATCTCAAGGAGAAACAGGATTATATCCGTTAAACAGACCATACCTTCTGTTCAACCTTAACCTTCTTCCCCTGACCAATCATCTCCTGCAATGTTTCTTTCAGTTCTTTCTCCTCTTCTTGAGGTAGAGGCTGCAGAGAGTGACAGTGTAAAAAAGATATAAATGCAAGTAGAGAGCAATTTGTATTAAAGGAATGATATGAAATCCAACATTAGCACAAGTGCTCCATCTAGTACCAAATACGATGGATCGATGTGGATTACTTAAAAACAGTTAGAAATTATCCCCAAATCTCGTTTCACATATTGTCCCCTGAGCAATAGGGCAGGGAGGTATCAAGTTTGTTCCTGCTTTTTCTGCCAAATTCAGAAATCTTTGAAGGTCCATAAATTCCTCTTAGGCTCTGTTTGATTGGCGAAATTTTCCAACGAACTAGAAAAAAGTTTTCCGTTTTCCATCTTTTGCACTGTTTGACAGCCTAAATTTTCCAC